GTTTAGGAAAAAGGGGATCTATCTCAAGAAAATGACAAAGTTAGCCCCCAGAATGATAATGAAGGAAGCATCTGTGTTTATGCTATGCATCCAAAATGGCAGAGAAGAAACATTTCTAGGAAACAGAAAGTGTTGGAATACTTGAGGTATGTGAGGGAAATAAAAGAAGATTTAGGCTGTTAAGAAAAGTTTGTGTATAAACTGGGTTTAAAATCTACACAAATTAAAAAGTTCAAGAGGAAAATTCCAGAGAAAACAAAAGGTTGTGCAAGAAAGGTTACGATGATCATGGCAAATATAAGGCTCATTTGTGAATAGTTTACAGGATCACAGTTGTGTCCTCAGTGAATGATACTCCCATCAAATGCTTACATAATTATATTGAAAGATTGAAGAGGGATAGGGGTACCAAGTAAAATACAGGATGTTCACTTAAATTTGAATTTCAGGTAAACAATTTTTTGTATAAGTAAACAGGATTTAAAACATTTTTATACCAAAAAAAATTGTTTTTGTACCTTATTTGTACATTAAATTCAAATTTAGCTGGCTGTCCTATGTTTTATTTGGTATATCTGACAACTCAAGGGATGAGAAGTGGTGAGGTGGGAGTACATGAAAGAGAGCTAAATTCTCACCTTACCCAGTAGAAGATAATAGAGAAAAATTAAAATTTGAAATAAAAAATAGGCAATATACTTATATTTTTAGAGACATGGAGGTAAATACGAAAATAAATAGCTGTAATAGTTGAAATTAGTTGCCTCTAAGAGGTACAAAATGTGTGGGAGTTGGCAAGGTTTTTTTTTTTCTTTAGAAGTATTCTAGAACCGTATGCATAAAAATGTAATGAAAAGAGAAACAAGGATGCCTGGGTGGCTCAGTCAGTTAATTGTCTGCCTTCAGCTCAGGTTATAATCCCAGGGTCCTGGGATCGAGGCCCACATCAAGCTCTCTGCGCAGCGAGGAGCCTGCTTCTCCCTCTGTCTGCCGCTCCCCCTGCTTGTGCTCTCTCTCTCTCTCTGTCTGACAAATAAATAAATAAATAAATAAAATCCTTAAAAAAAAAAGGAAAATAGAAACAAAATAAACAATTTAAATGCAACCAAAAGTACAGAATAATAAAAATTAGAAAAAATAAAATTAATTTAATGAAAAACAAGTTTTTGAGGTTGAAATTGAAACCTCATTCAAACTATGAATCTGGTGTAACTCCCATAGCCATATTCTTTGGAGTTTGGCACGCCTATGCTGGACATAGGTTCCATGTGTTCACTCTAAATGAATTATTTTACCACTTCTATTTTAACTATTACAGAACTTTATTGTGATGGATCAAGATATCACTACTTTCATTTAATAATGAGTGTCTATTTATGTATTAAATATTCCTGTCATTTTCTCATTAACAAACAACATGAAAAATATTATGATGTGGTGCTAATGAGATCATGAACATAAAGACAGGAATGCTAAAATTATTTACTAATGCTTAGATTTAAGTGATTGTCCAGTGAACAGTGTTTTAATGCTAACATTAATTTTTAGTTTAATACTAAAATGGAAACATGGAAGTAAAATATCCATGTGGAAATCTCAGATATCCCTGAGATGACTTTCGTGATACCTAAAATTCATATATCACTGTGGACAGTGGTGGCTGCCTTGCTTATTTTCTTTCCTTCCTTCCTTCCTTCTTTCCTTCCTTCCCTCCTTCCTTCCTCCCTCTCTCCCTCTCTCCCTCCCTCCCTCCCTTCCTTCCTTCCTTCCTTCCTTCTTTCCTTCCTTGCTCCCTCCCTTCCTCCCTCCCTCCCTTCGTCTCTCCCTTCCTTCCTTCTTTCCTTCTCCCTTCCTCCCTCCTTCCCTTCCTTCCTTCCTTCTCCCTTCCTCCCTTCCCTTTCTTTTTTTCTTTCCTAGATTAAAATAAAGAGAGAAATTAAGATATTCAGGTTGTACCTCTAAACTCTCACTGAATAGTCAATTGAAAGGAAAATCTAAATGGCTGCAGAGTTGAAATTTTCATATATATATTAAATATAAGAAATGACTTCTAGATTCATAGAAATTCTCAAACAAATCCTCTTTTTTTTTTTTTTTTTAGAGAGAGAGAGAGAGAGCTCACAAGCGGGGAGGGGCAGAGGGAGAAAGAGAATCTTAAGCAGGCTCCACGCCCAGCTGGAGCTGATGCAGGGCTCCATATCACAACCCTGAGATCATGACCTGAGTCGAAATCAAGAGTCAGATGCTTAACCAACTGAGCCACCCAGGTACCCCAGAAATCCTATTAAGTAGGTTTCATTTTGTTCCTTTTAACAGAGGGGAAAACAGAGCCAGAGAATTTAGGAATCCTGTAGTTAACAAATCTACAGAGGTCAAACATCCAGTCAGAGACAGATGATTATACCCCAAATGCCTAACTTCATTTTCTTCTCTGAGCCTGGGTTGCTCCCTCTAATCTATTAAAAAGTGGTTGCTTTCAATTTAACTGTACAACTCTAACCATTTTTGAGCAAAAGCCTATGCTTGCCCATCTTCCTTTGTTCAGTGTCAGTATTACTAATTTCAGTGCATTTAGTATCATTTTTAATAAAATTTCATTCTATGATATTCATAAAAATAAAATATTTTCATAAAAATATATATAATGAAACATATGTTTCAGTGTCTAGTGAGATCATTGTTATCATTAGAGTGCAAAGTTTAGGGCCAATCTCTAACAATTATGTTTGTTTTGAATCTGATATGATTCTGAAAACTGTTTCTTAAAGATGACTTTTTCTTATCTCCATTTAAATTTCTGGATATTGTAGATTGCATAGGAGAGACTGTGGGAAGGTTAACTGCATAAACGTTTATCATTTTTAAAACAAAATCACATACTGCAAAAGACACATAGTGAAGCACCAACTTCTACATACCATGAGATTATCCACTTCCAGGATGAGAACCAAAAATGGATCAGCATTGTATGTTTGGTTTACATCTGCCTTTTATGTATTAGGAAATACTCTCTCAACCACTCCTATTTACTTCATCTTTTCAGATGGGAAAACACTTTTCTCTGAATTGATGACTACTTATTTTTCAGCTAAAGTAAATACAGGTCTATATCTCTTTTCATTTGTGTGAGAAGCTGACACATTCTGTCACAACATCGCTTGAGTAAATGGGAAAGTGACAGCTTCCTGGCAAAATTTTAAAGAGATAAACATCTATTTTTGTTTAAACAGCCACTAAAAAATCAGATAGAAGCTTTCCAGGTTGAAAGGATAAAGAATGCATGAGTGGTGCAAATTGGTAAATGAATGCACGTTCAAAAACTTCTGATGTTTGCCTCTGCAATTTTAACCACAGCTCAGTGTTTTTTGGGATTAAATAATAAGTCTTCAAAGAATAAATTCTATCAAGATGATAGAATTATCAAAAAGTAGATTAACAGGATTACAAAAACCACACAATAATATCCTTAGAAACAATTCCAAATTGAAATATCAAATATTTGCTTTTCCCAGCTTTTGAAATTTGTTTATTTTCGATTCCTAGAAATTCTATTACTGGTTTGAAAATGGCTCTGAGAAAATTACTGTTACTTAGTCTTTATTTAATACTTTTAAAATAATATGTTTTATAATGTTTTCCCTTTCTAGCTATTTTACTGTTATCATATAAGCATTACTATTTTTATCCTGGCTTCTCTTAGAATCTATACACATAGTGTATATATACCAGTATAGTCAATTTTTATCTCAAGTAACAATGTTACTTACAAAACTTGTGTTTTTCCTTCTTTTTGCAACTGAGTCTTTAAAACAGAATTTTATAATTTACTATCAGTTTTTATAATATAGGACGAGTGAACACTTTCTATTAAATTTAGCATAAAGAATTTGGTAAATAAGAAAATTTGTGTTAATTCTGGAGACATAAGATCACATGAATGTCAGAGGTAGGTATTGAATACATCATTATTGGATTTTATGGTTCTCACATTTATAATTCCTGTTGATAGTAACCTTCTCTATATCACTGCAGGATTCTTCTTCAGAATTTCCTGGAGCAAGTAAACTAATGTTTAATCTTACAGATTCTATGTTGTTCCAATAACACTCAGTGAGCCTTCCATTGAAACAACCATAATGTATTTCTGTATTCCTGTCTCATCTCATTCCACACCTCTCCAACCAAATCACAATTCTTGGAAGATGAGAACAGCAGGGGATTTTAATTTTCTTTTCAGTTACAAAACAGAGGTTGAGAGTCCTAACCTTTACTTCTATATACTGTTACTGATTAAGTAGAATCATATACTGGTAACTGATGAGTTGTATGCTTAACACAATGACTGGCAAATAAACCAAACCAGAATAGTGTTCAAACTATTCTGATACTTAAGCTAAAAATGGATTTTCTTTATAGAAGATAATTGAAGAAGAGTCATAGATTATGAAATGTAACCTGGGCCCAAGGGTGCAAGAGCGTCTGACTCTGAGAGTCCCAGACAATCCCCTTGTCACTGACAAAATCCAAAGGCAGAGGGACAGTGGTAGCGAAATGAGAAAGGAATATATTTCAGTGAGGTCAGCATCAGTGGACTAATGTCCCAAAGCCTATCTCCAAAGTGCTGAAAATACTTCTAGGTTTATACAAGGACAATGTAGGACAAAGGTCAGTGGGTCCATGCAGGGAGCAGTAAAGGGCATGTTGGTCATTGTCTTGGAGTCAATCATACAGGGTCTGGCTGGCTTCAGGGCAGTCATTATTGCCTGGGGTGGTGGTTTCGGTTTCCTCTCACAGGATGCTTTGCCTGAGTTAAAAGATAAACTGGAAAGAAGAACTTAATCAGTTCTTCGTTGTTTCGAAACTTTTGGAACATGTACTGTTAAGGTTTATATGTGAAAAAAAATTTACTAATCTACATATTTATAGAAGCATCTAATCCTGAACTCCATCATGAACTTTATCATGTGCCTCCTCTGACAGTCTTTCTGATTTCCAAACAGGGAGACCTTGGATTGCAGTCAAGATGTTCAGGAAAAAGCAGAAGTGCATCAGCCAAAATGATATTAACTGTGATGACCAGGATCTCCATTTTTCAAACCTGAGTATCGAACTACTCTGAAGCAAGAAGGAAGAAAGGTGGGCTGAGATTTAAATAAACAGCACATTCATTTTTACATTGTAGTCTCTTGATTAACAGTAGAAGACATCACTCCTGAAAGCATCTGCAGTGTCAGTAATTCCATTAACAAAGAAGCCACTTTATTATCAACATACTGTAGATTCATTTTAATGTGTCATTTGCACTTCAAAGTCACATAACTTTTATTATGGTAAATCAATTAAAACTATTTCTCATGATAATTTATCTTCTGCAGAGTTTATCATCTCAGAGAATGCAATATTTCCCAATTTAACTTCCAAGACAAAAGTGATGTAATTTGAATGCCTTTTACTGAGCTTATTAAGCATAAAGATCACAGAAATTTCAAACCCTGAAAGATAACTGTTTCATCTATGTGATAAAATGGAAGCCACAGTTTTTTGTAGTGGACTATAGGTAGTGGAGACAATATGCTAATTAGTAATATAACCTCATTTACTGATTTTCTGTGTCTCCCATTTTAAAAGATAATCTAGTAAAAGCAGATAGTTTCTCTGATATTAATTTTAAAGAGAACGTAAAGATTTATATAAAAACATTTTATTGAAGATTTGCAGATGAACTGAATTTGAGGATGATAAAGTCACCTGTTTTGTTACTTTCAACGACTTTATAAGAGGATGCTTCAAAGATTTAATTCTTATCTTTGAAAAATGACAGTATTTTTCAACAGTTATTGAATATTTCTAAAATAAGCAGTTTTAATATCCTTTGCAGCCTAGAAAATGTTTGTGTGAAATGAGGAATTTTATGCTTTCCTAATTTGAGTAAACTTAAAAGATATATTCAAACACTGGCCACATTTTTTTTTTTTTAAGTTTTATTGTCCAGTTGAATTTAACTCAAAAATTCTATCAAGACAGAGATAGAATCAAAGATAAAAGTCATAATTTCTTTATGAGTGGTGATCAGAATATGTTAGATAAGTACTGTATAAAGTACAGGGTATATTTACTTATTAATGCAATTTTAGTAAGGTTCAGTTTATTTTATGATAAAAATAAGCAATTTAAATGGCATTTTTTCCTTCTGAGATATTTATATTTCTTGAAAAACCTCATTAGAAATGGATGCATTATTCATTTTCTTATCATTGTCTCATTTTGTTTCTAAATATTAAGAAATTTGTGCCTAACAAATATCTTTGTACCCATTCATTTAATTTCTGCAAGGAGATTGTAGTATCTACAGGAGAAGTAGCACTTACAAAAATTAAGTTACTATACACTATCAGAAACAGTGTCCTTAATTTCAGCGTTTGTAATGGAAAAATTAGAATCTAATATAAAAGAGAATTTTGCTTATAAAAATGACTAGAGAGTAAAATCAAGTTAATTATAATAAACTTCCTGCCTCCCACCATCATAACAGTGCCTGAAGGATTTCCTGAAGTCCTTTGGGTCTTGGTAGAATAATTTGGGCACTGAGGACACTGTTGAAAATCATGAGGATTGAAACTGGAGAGACCTAGTCTAAAACCTGATAGATGTTATGTGTGGTTTTTTTGTTTTGTTTTGTTTTTTGCTTTAGAAACTTTACAGTATCCCATACCTCTTTTATTGTTAGTGGTGGTGGTGATGGTGAAATGTAATTAATATCAGTTATTTTGAGGATAGTACTGCAAAGCATTTGGAATCTAGTAGCATGCAAATCAAAGGAAATACTTCAAGCTAGGACTCTGATCCCCTACCAGTCTGTACCTCTAACCTAGAGATTTACAGCATCCCTGAACCTCATGGCTATGTATTCCAAATCGTAATTAGGGTTCCACACCTAAGAGATCTTTTTTTTTTTTTAAAGATTTTATTTATTTATTTGAAACAGAGAGAATGAGAGAGAGAGAGCACATGAGAGGGGAGAAGGTCAGAGGGAGAAGCAGACTCCCCACTGAGCTGGGAGCCCGATGCGGGACTCGATCCTGGGACTCTGGGATCATGACCTGAGCCGAAGGCAGCCGCTTAACCAACTGAGCCACCCAGGCACCCTACACCTAAGAGATCTTGAATTTAATCAGTCCACCCTTCTTTTCCTCTCACTACCATACAGTGTGACTACAAAAATAGACCTATATCAACCGGAGGAGGATTTGCAAATGAACTAAATTTCAAGATGTTGCAGTTGCCTAATTTTTTTTTTTTTTTTTTTTGCATTTACCTATCCTGATAGTTTTAATGACTTTGTAAGAAATTACTTTGGGGCCTTACATCCGTTTTTTATCTTTAGAAACTGCCAGGATTTTTTTCCTCCTTCATTATTGAATCTTTCTCAAATAAGAAGTTTTAATACCCATTTGCAGCCTGAAAATGTTTGTGTGGAAATAAGAACTTTTATGCTTTTGTAAATGGAATCTAGATATTCTGAGGTGATATCCACACTTTTACATTACATACCTCCATTATATTACATGTATATTTATTGATGTATAGAGCATATCTGTGAACTTTTATACTAATGTATTATGTATTTCGAAAATATAATTTAGTAAGATGTCTTCCTAATAAAAGTGGCTTAACATTATCTCAATGTAACTAATATCTCAAGGGGAAATATACACTTAAGATAAGGCTATTGGTACCCATGGGTGTAAGTCTACTTTTCAATGCAGTTTTCAATTTCAAATCCTGATAACTTTGAATTATTTTGAACAACTTCTTTTTAGACATGGTTATGTCACAAATATGTTGCCTCAGAACGAGGCAGATGAAGAGAGTTTTGAGCAATAAACTACCAACTCTGCTATAACCTTGTTGCCCTCCTGTACTTAAATCACTGGGACTATCATCAATCCATATTTTGTAGACATCTTGTTTAACTCACTTGTCCATTTTGTATGGGTTGGTTTAGTTAAAACTGGATGATTAAGTAGCAAATCCATCTAATTATGGAAATATACAAGAACTGTTCAGCAGTACACCAAACTCCTGAGGATAGCTCCTTCATGTGGAAATCCTGCTCTCCTCTCAAACTTCCATTATAAATGCAACAGACATGAAATAGACCCGAGAAAGCTTACCATGTCAATTAATGCATTCAAGACTTAAATACCTTAATGGAGCTATCATTTTTAAAATAAAAATTAAAGATAAGTAGAAATTTTAACATTTTCTTCATATATCTGTGTAGTTTGTCTTGTACAACCCCTGGTGTGTTTTAATTCTGTTTTAGAGCTGAAGTATCAGATGCTGCTATTTGAGCACTGTGATTCAGTTTTCTCCCTCCAGATACCAGCACATATATTATAGGAATTCTTTCTCCTGGAGAAATGATCTTACTTCCCATTGTTAAACTTGATCGAAACACAAGATTTCAGCTCTTTGTGTTCAGCTCCATCTGTTACCATTGCAATCGTCTTCCAGAGAGGCTCCCAACCAGAGATGTTCTAAAGTGGAATTGGCTACTGTTTGAAACCCTAAATGCTTCCCTTTCTGCCTTTGAGAACCACACCCAAATCTTTGGCAAGTTTTACTTTAAAACCAGAGAAAAACAAAGGGTTTTTTATCTTCATTTCCACTCTCATCCAGGACCATGCGAAGACTCATGAAGCCACCAAAGTTATGCAGTCCGTGTTCCCAGTGAGTTCTCCACTTCCCTCCTCAAGAGATGCCATCTTATAAATTCAGTGTTTACTTCTTGTTGTTATTATTTTAAGGAAGATCTTGTCAATGATCCCAAGATGCTAAGTCTGCTCTACATGAAAGAGGGGGGAAGGATCACTGGTAATGGTAAGGCACTCTTTACAGGTCCTCCCTGAGGGCAAGTGCCCTCAGTGAGTAAAAATTTATATGTAGCATATCCTTAATAAAGAGCAAATGCGAGAGACGATGGACTGTGAAAAACAAACTGAGGGTTCTAGAGGGGAGGGGGGTGGGAGGATGGGTGAGCCTGGTGATGGGTATTGAGGAGGGCACGTTCTGCATGGAGCACTGGGTGTTATGCACAAACAATGAATCATGGAACACTACATCTAAAACTAATGATGTAATGTATGGGGATTAACATAAGAATAATTAAAAAAAAAATATAGAAAGAGCAAATGCAATTTCTAAAGAGAGAGGATGCCAAAGCAAAATAAACAACAAAAAGCTCTTTTAACACTTCTAATCCTTTTTGCTATTATTGCTTTCCCCTCTGTTGTAAAACTTCTTGAAAAAAATTGCTCTCTTTCTTATTGACATATTCCTAAATTCTAAATTCATATTCGTGTAATCATCGTATAAAAATAGTTCTTTGGAATGTCACCACTGGCTTCTCTTCCTTGGGAAATGAAACCAACCACATTTAATAACATTAAGTACCAGGAGAATGTCTTCATTTACATAACTTTAGCATTCAACTGTCTCCATTAATATAATGATATGAGTCTGACAGGAAACGTGAATAAAAATATAAAGTTACAGATAATTTTATTGTTTGTTTCAGGAACTTCCTAAGAATCTATTTATCTGATAATACCACTAGTCTTCCTCAAGGATCCTTCCCATAACAATAGATTATTCAAAGGAGTTCAAAAGACTGTGTACTATTGGAGAGTTCTCTAAAACTCTTCCTCAAAACTCCCTTACCTCAGCCTGTGCCTCAATTGTACCATTATCTAGAAAATATTTCTCAATCTTATCAAACCCCTGCATAAAAAGACCTATCTTATACCAGACCCCCAAACATCCTGCCCTTGTCTTCCATTGACTAAAGAAACAAAAGAGCAAGTTATTTTACAATGACTTTATAACAGTGGAATTGCAATTTGGGACAAGCAAACAATGGCAAAGCATGGCAAGTCCAAAGAAACAAAGGGAAGGTCCGCTTGCATTCAGTTTCAGGAGAAATTGAGGAGGACTGTTTTGAACAAAAAGTTCACTGGAGAAGAACTTTAAGAGTTTGAGGTTGTGGAGGTTTCTTACTGGTTGTGAGGTGTGACTAGTGCCTTATGGGGCAGGGGGTGATCTTCCTTCTTTCTGCTAATTAAGCAGGCAGTAATGAGTGGTATGTGTATTTGCACGAGAGCGCCTCCTTCAGGGCTTTCCTTCATTTTAAATTAGGTTGCCCTTTATTCATTTTCATACTTCCCACTTCCAAAAAGGCACTCAAACCCTAAGGTAGCACCTTCCTTTATTCTAGGAAGCAATGACCTCAACTTTGCTTTATTAGCTCGTTATTTGGTGGTGTGGTTTGTTTGCTGTTTGTTTTTAGGGACTTAGATATTTCACATATGCTCATCTGTTCACTTGTTTGTTGTGATATCTTAAAAACAAGTATATATATAACATATATGTACATTCTAAAGAATAGTGTTAATAATTAAATGTACTTTTGCTTTCTGATTATTTATGGTACTATTATGGCAACCCAGCTTTCCTGCTGTAAACACTTGAAAAGATCATATCAAAAGATCAAAATCACACAAATTTTAAAAGCATCATAGCGATACGAGACAATGAAGACTAGATGGACTAACATTCCAGAGAGTGGAGATTTCATTCCAAAGTGCAGTCACAGTTGCCTTTCCTGGCCAGAGAGAAAAATTTATCTTTGCTGGTGCAGCCTGAATTTATGTAGGGGAAAGAGAAACCAACAAAATTTTTAACAACTGCGTGGGGTTAGAGTGAGAAAGCAGAGAACTGAGTGTCCTCAAATGTATGGTCCTTCGCTCCACAAGACATTTTCTGTATTCTGAGGCTGCAGAAGGTTAAAATGCTCGGTAGAAAGCTTCTGAAAAATAGAGCAAAATTTTATAAAGTTTACCAGTCTTTAAAAAATAGAGATCTGTTGTGAGGGGTGGGGCTGAGGTGGGTAGAGTCTTTCAACAAAGAAGAAATTAAAGTCCTAGAAGGAGAGTTGAATGGATTCTGAGGACCTGTAGCCATATTTCCTCTGGGGGCACTTCCTGATTGTGGGTGTAGGTGGGGACCAAGAATCTAGGCTTGGTCTCTAACAGAAGGTTTTTGTGGAGGAACAGGAAATCAGCAGAGATTTTGCATTCTCTCTGGGTTACAGTGATGAAATTGGTGACTGGATAGGCCTGAAATATGTGACATTTCTGTATATCAGGATGTTTGCTGAAGTCTGAGGCTGTGGGGTGCTGAATGGCAAAGAGCAAATCTAAAACCTTCTGAAGGACAGAACTGAGTCTCCTACTGCCTTCCCAGGCGGAGGAAGCAAAGAATGGTTATGTCTTAGAATCAAGGATAAACTAATGACTGACTACAAAGACTGCAGTCCAGTGCCAGCCTAACAAAATTTTTTATTTGATTGAGGCTATCAATTAGATTTTGATGTCTTAACCCAAAGAGAAAATGATGGACTGGATACATCTTTGCTGCTTTTAGCCTACTGCCTGAGCTGGTGGGAGTTTGAATTGGAGACCGTTTACATAATAGCTCGATAGCTGAATTAGAAAAGAAAAACCCCAAATCACCTGCATTGATTGGAGGTCATTGGAGATATTTGCCAGTCTCACCTTTGGGAATAGGGGGACACTATTAAATAAGTAAGGAGTAGTTAAATAGCTTCACCAGAAGTATCCATTTAGCACCTTATTGAAGACCAATTTTTGTTTACATATGTGAAATTTCAACGTGGAGTTGTTTACTTTCTGCTTAAATTTAGTCTGCTTTGGACTTTCCTTATTCCCTTACTATTTTTTTTTTTCCTGGATGATTATATCTTTAACCTTCATTCTTAAGTGAATATAAAATTCCAAGTTTATAATTAATATCTCTAAGTTCTTGGGCTTACTCAATTGGTATCTTTTAAGAATTTTGAAAACTGATCACCCCATTATCTCTAGATACTGCTATCTTCCCTATTCTATTAGATGCTTTGGGATTTTATATGGACGTAGTGATGTGCTGGTAAATGTTTAACATTGGCTTTTCAAAATAAAAAAAGACCTGATTATAGCATTTTCAAATTTCCATGGTGTGACTATTACCATCATGGTCAGTTGTGAGCTACCAAAGGTGATGTTCACAAACAGACTTGGAAAGAGATAATGTACAAACATCTCTTGCAAGCTGATCAGAGCTGGTTCTAGCAAACTATTTTGTAGACTTACATTATCCTCTCTTACTGTGTCTTCTGTGTTACATATTTTAGTTGTTCCTCCAGGTTTCTAACATTTGCCTGAGGTATGATTAATCTGCTAATGCAGACCTTGAGTTTTAAATTTCAGTTTTAGGGGCACCTGGGTGGTTTAGTCAGTTGAGCATCTGCCTTCAGCTCAGGTCATGATCCTGGAGTCCTGGGATCGAGCCCCATGGCGGGTTCAGGGATCCTGCTTCTCCCTCTCCTGTTCCCCCTGCTTGTGTTTTCTCTCTCTCTGTCAAATAAATAAATAAAATCTTAAAAAAAAAATC